ATCTACTACAAGGACAAAGCTGACACTGCCCAAATTTTGAAAAAGATTGATTAGCCAAAGATGAAATTATTATTATTATTATTATTATTTTTTTATTTTTTATTTTTCATATAAAGCAACCGTTCAAACCAGGCCTTTTCGACAAAATACAGACTTGAAACCTCCGGTTAGTAAGCCTAAGAGGCTACCATGCATATTAGCTGCCTAAGGGAACAAATAACCCAATGGGTGATATGGGAAAGGTTCCTCTTTCAGAATCTCTCAGTTGGATTATGCATAACTCAATCAATCACGCGGCTTAAATTCAGCCATATCATCATCTAAAGTGAATTTTAAATCATGTAATTTAGATTCGATCACATCATCGTCTTAAGTGAAAAAAAAATTAAAATTAAAATTGCAAGTGGTATATTTAAATAAGAGGATGACGCGAATGAATTTAGACCACAAAATTAAATAAGAGGATGACATGATTGGATTTGGATTACAGATTAAGCTCCTCTAAATATGGTGGCAAGATAATGGTGTGCAATATTAATGTGTTAAAAAGGATATAAATATTAAAGTTACATCCCTACAATAGCATAAACTTTTAGAATAAATGTTAGTCAACATAATATACCTACACATTAGTTAGGTAGTTAAGCGAAATTAAAGAGAATGCTTCTTACTTCCACATTTGGTTCCATGGCTAAGCTCTTGGCCACACGCATCCGCAGCATAGGTCATTTCTCCGGCATCAATGACCTCCTCGATCATCTTCCAAAGTGAGGTACTTGCACAAGCATACCATATCCACCGTCTTCATAACATCACAACAAGCCTTGATTGATGACAGATACTTGTCCTGTGGCTACACAAATGATGCAGAGCATTGGTGTAAGAGATCTTCGGAGTTACCTTTGCACTGGCCAATTTTTTTTTTTTTAGGTAAATCTTTGGACTGGCCATTTGCTATATATACTATCACCAAAATTTATCATCCCAAAAGCCATAAGGATTGCTAAAGCCATGAAATGGGTGCTAGACACTGCCATCTCTCTCTAGAATTCTTGTGTGTGCGCGCTCTTGGCTTGTTGTGTTTATGTAGATTGATAATAATTAATGTGTCATACAAATAGGTACGTATCACACTCACATGCACTTTGCATGTCCATCCGGACAAGTGCGTGGATAGATTCACGTTGCAGTTATGTAATGAGCCAATTTGTTATGTATTAGCATTTTATCTGCTGATTTCAGGGTTTTTTTTTTTTTTTTTTTTCCAAAAATTCAAGCAAAGTGTATAAATAAAAGGGTAAATTGCAAAAACTGCCCAATTATATAATAAAAAAATGTGAAAGAAACACCTATACTATTTAGTAGGAGTGGCAAATGGGTGGGTTGGGTCGGATTTGGACTGGGTTAAAAATGGACGGGTCAAATATGAGTCAAGACCCATATTCAATCCATTCAGAACGGATTAAAAATGGACGGGTCAAAAATATATAGGATCAACCTGTTATAACTCATGGACCCATTAATTATTATTTTTTAAATTTTTTAAATTTTAAATTTTTTTATTTTTAAAATTTAAATTATTTTTTAATTATTTTTTTATTTTTAATTTTTTTTGGGGGAATGTTTTAAAATTTTATTTAATAAAAATAAGAAAAACAATCTCAAACCGAGCAATATTTATGCACTCATTTTAGAGAGTGAAAAGTGAAGAAAAGAGAAGAAATTTCTAGAGAGAGAAACTTAGAGATAGGGGATTGATAAGTCAAATTTAGAGAGAGAGGATTGTAAGTGAGAGAATTTTAGAGAGAAAAATGAGTTGAGTGCAATATAGAATAGATGTGTGTTGTGTGTTTATTATTTGATGGGTGAAATATGGGTTGAATATGGGTATCCATACTCAACTTATTTTGACTTTCAAATTAAGTGGTTAAAAATTACCCAACCCATTTTTGACCCATTTTAAATATGGTTCACCCAAAATCATTACAAAAATGGATGGATATGGACGGGTTGATGGGTTGTGATCTATTTTTCCACCCCTGCTATTTAGTATGCCTATATAAATCTCTATAATTTGACTATTTATAAAAAATTGCCCATTGTCGTCAATTTTGACCAAATTTTTAAAAACGCCAAAATACACTCAAATAAAATTTGTGCATACGAGTGTTATTTATTTATTTTGCTTTAAGGGTATTTTAGGTATTTCAATCTCCTTATTTACTCAATCTAAAAAATCAGGACGATTTTTTTGGGTTTTCATTTTTTATTTTAATTTGTGTGTGCAATTTCCTTAAATAAAAATTTACAATTTACATTTTTTTTCTCTCTTTCTTTATTATTATTATATATTATTATTTTAGATCTTCCTCTCTTTTTTTATTATTGGCATTTTATACATCTTTGATTCGAGAATTGTTCAGGGGTAGATTTTTGCATCAACAAGGCTGAGTCTCGAAATTCGAGAGGAGAGAAGGGACAAGTCGAGGGAACTGTCCCCACTCAATTTTTAATTTTTTAAAATTATATATATATAATCATGACATAATTGTAAATATATATAATATATCTATCAATTTATCACTTTCTCAGAAAATATGATATTTTTTTCCACTTTTCCAAAATATTATATTATTTCCCACTTTCCAAAAACAAAAAACATTTCATTAAGATATTCAATCACACTTTTAACGTTATCACAAATAAATGAATTGTTTCCATCACAATATCAGTCTTCAACATTTTGCACAATCCAAATAAAGCAAGCGAAACAACCATTTACCAGTAAAAAGGTAATCTGATATATTTTTTATTTTAGGGCTTATTGTTCTTTCAAAATTTAGTTTGTGTAATTGTGTTACTAATTATTATTCTCTAAATAAAACTTAGAATATTTTTTTTTAGTTGCAGACCAAATCAATGAAATCACAGATTCACTTACTCTATCAAATTTTGTGATTGATTAAATTATCTGGTTATAACTTATAATGTTAGATTTGGTTGTCATGGCTTTTATTTTTTTATTTTTACATATGTGATATATTATAACTATGTTATTTTATTTTTCATATCTTATTCATAATTAACTAAATATGATTTTTTTAATATATATATATATATATATATATATATATATATATATATATATTTTCTTAGTTTGGTATATACCTATGCCTCTACTGAGGCTTGAACCACTTACCTCCCCATGAGAAGTAGGAGTTTGTTACCACTGGGTAACTGGGCCGTTAGTTTTTTAGTATATTTAATTGAATGAATAATCTGAAAATTTGTTGTGAATGTACTTAATAAAAATATTATGAATCAATGTTTTAATTTTTAAATATATTATTGCTATTAAAGATTGCCAACACAAAAAGATATTCTTGGCTATGCCACTTAGGGCTGCAAGTTGGGCTGGCCCAACACAGCCCAGCCCCAGCCCAACCTCAACCCGAATCGGATTGGGTTGGCGAGCCCGAATTGTATCTAATATGGGTTATATATGGTCATAACTTGGATCGAATATTTTCGAGCAGGTTGGGTCGGGTTGGCGGGTTGAGTTTTTATTTTATTTTATATTATTTTTAGGGAAATTTATATATTATATATATATATATATATATATATATATATATATATATATTAGGGCAAATCATTTCAACCTCCCCAATCGCCTCCATCTGGTCTCATTCTCAACTCTCTCTCTCTCTCTCTACAACTGCAAACTACAAAATCTACAAGAATCAGAAGTTCAAAACCCATATATTTCAGTTTATCTATCTGTCTGCAAGAATCAAAAGATCAAAACCCATATCGGCATATCATTTCAGATTGTTCAAAAAATCTATATCTATATCTATATCTATATATATATATATTAGGGCAAATCATTTCAGCCTCCCCAATCGCCTCCATCTAGTTTCATTCTCAACTCTCTCTGTCTGTAAGAATCAAAAGATCAAAACCCATATCGGCATATCATTTCAGAATGTTCAAAAAATCAAAACCCATATCTTTCAGTTTCCATCGCCCGCTGTTCCAGTTCAGGTTTGCCGTTCGCAAGCTTCAGCCGCTGTCTCTCAACTCTCAAGCTTGCCCCCCTCTCTCTCTGCAACTGCTAACTTGTATGTATGAGTTTTGTTTAGTGAAGGGACGGCGGTAGCAGTGGATCAGCGGCTGAGGGCGAGGGACGGTGGCAGAGAGAGAAAGAGAAAGAAGAGAGACGGAGAGAGAAAGGAGAAAAAAAAAAAAAAATTGGGTTTTGCGTTGGGTTCGGGTTGAGCCCGAGCCCAATCTGAATATGCCTGGGTTTTGACAAACTCTAATCTGAACATGAACCCGATTTCTAAATTTAAGTCCAATTTCAAAATTTCTGGGTTGGGGTTGGATTAGGCTAAGTTAGTCCGCCCAAGTTGCAATCCTAATGCCACTTAGCCCATCACCACTACTCTCACTTTTAAATTTTAGACTCCTGTCTCGAAATCTTTAATTATTTTTTTATTTGAATAAAAAAACAAAAGAGCAAGATGCATGATGCATAGTACAACAAGATCCTTTTGGTAAGTATGTTGTGTAATGACCCGGATTTCTTAACCTAGTGCGTTAGTGATGAACCGGAAGTTGACCCGATAACGAACCCGAAATGCGGAAGCGAAAGAAGCCAAATGACCTCAAGAGATGTACGTCATCCCTAAGGCCCTAAAATGACTCTCCATGAAGCCACGGAACTCAAATGAGCCAAGTAAATGAAACAAGAATGCCTAACCCGAAAAGAGATGAACTAAAGCCAAAATGGTCATTTCTCACTGAAAAGGGTGCCACCGTGCAAACCATTGGAAGGACAACAAAAAATGAACAAAATAAAACTCAAGAATCGTCTGATTCTGAGTCCGGGCAGAAAAGATATGAAATTCCAATACCCGACACGAAAGTTATGAAGCAATGACTTGACATTTTCTAATATTTTCATAATAAACTTTGAAAACAAAAGTGCATAGAAAACGAGATACATGTCATTGGCCTCTGGCCTCATCTCATATATGTTAAATATATTGAAAACAGTGCACTTACGTACACTTTACATATACGAATCAACGAATACAAGTTTAAACAAATAGGGCTACAAAGAGGAATCTTATGCTAACACTTACATAAAATAAAAACATAGAAACTGTAAGCCATCCAAGGAGCAATGGAATCTTCAAATCCTGAGTCCTGTACCTGAAATATGCCCCAGTATCGTAGAGGTGAGTAACATAAAGCTACTCGTAGGAGATGAGCATGCATCGACCTAGCATTTTACAATTTTATCACCTTATAGTGAAACATGTTAAAGGGGCTCATGCCACCTAATGTCTATGTCAAAATGAGACCCAGGAAGTATCCTAAGCTACCTAGATCATTTATATCAAAATCACATTGTTCATGCAATTCAAACAACATGGAAACACGTTATATAAGGCAACAAGATATAGATTCTCAAAGTCTTTAACTTGAAATCCAAAATACGAAAACAACAAGTGTGGGTCATGCCACCTAACGTCTATGTTCAAAATGAATCTATAAGGTCATTCCTAAACTACATTTGAACATCAAAACACAAATTATGATATCGATGTAATTTAACCAACAATGGAACTTCCAATACAACGCATGAAGCATGCTTTCACAAAGCTACATCTTAAGCTCAAAATAGGAAATCAAATAAGGAACAACAAGTTACAATATCATCTAGTTATGAACTTGAAATGAAATACGAAATCAAACAAAGTGGATACTCGGACGTCACGCCGGATCAGACCGACAACATAGTTACTTTAGGGTTACTAGCCCATGGGTAACCTCCCTATGTGCGCACTAGACTATATAGAGGAACAATCCCCCGTACTAGAATAAAGTCCTAGCCGTAGCCAAACAATGACATCCCCAAGTTTCCAAAATCAACAAATTGTGCAACAACGTATATATATCAACATGTATATATAAGATATCAACTATTTACCAAGCACAATCCAAATTTTGGAAACTTATACAATACATGCTCAAAATTCACAACTACTATGGCATGTAAGATGTCATACAAAGTGTGCAATTCTTTACACATAGCAACAATATATTCAATAAGGAAAAACATATTCTCATGAATATAAAAGTAACAACTATGTTATCCAATACTCAAAAGTAATCAAGTGAACATACACCAAATCCAAATCCATGATTTAAATATAAAAACAACTTCCAAAATGCAATTAAATCTATGGAGTACTAAAGCAGAATTTAATTAAACATAAATAGTTAAATTCTCTAAATTCCAAGTTAATTCAAATAACTTCAATTTAATATATATTGAAAGACATGTCATGGTCATCATATATATAACATCAAATGACAAGTTAAGAGATTAAAACACTTAAAACAAAATTAATCAAGCTAATTAATTAATTTCCTCTAAATTTTTAAACAATTCCAAATGCACTCAATTTAATCTATGTTAGAGAACATGCCAAGTCCTATTTAAATACCACATTACAACTTGATTTAATGCTTGATACAACCATGTGAATTAAGCTTTCACTAAAGATAAATATTAAATAAAAGTTGTAATTCTTAATCAAATGATCTAAATTTAATATATGTTAACCAACATATCTAAGCATAATTTCCTAGCATGTTACAATTCAAATCAAAGTTATACATCATCATAAATTTTAAATCTTATACAAAGAAATAAAAATTACTAACTTTCTAGATTTGATACAAGGCATACATATATGTTGTATAATCATGGCAAACACGCAATACAATACACAAATAATCCTATAACATTCCCTACCTCAATTGGAATGAAAATCCCAATTACCACCGAAATGAAATCGTCCCAAATTTTCGGTCCGCAAAACAGATTTTTCAGCTTGCTACCTTCAACTTGTAAAATTCATAAAAAATTCAATTCTGTCCCAAATTGAATGAATCCAAAGCCCAATGAAAGTTAAACACTGTAATTTAATAATATCAATTTAGTTTAACAAAATATTTTTCCAATTGAAATAGTTTTGAACCACAACTTTGAAACATATTCTGCCCAGAAAACACATTTTCAGCCTGTAGCTTCCAATTTTGAAAATTCATGAAAAATTCATTTGACATCCAAATTGGGCAAACCTAATTTATTTTGGAAGTAAACATATGAGAGTGTAAAACTGGAAATTTAAGCCATGATCCAATATCAAAAGGTTAGTGAAATAAATTATCTAAAAATATGTTTTCCAGCTGCAATAAAAACATGGACAGCAGATAGTTTCGGATTTTTAAAAAACATTTAGAAATGCTCTAAAATCATGAAAAAATTCTGAGTAGTGTAAAACCCATGGAGAAAATTCTAGTAAAAATTTCAAGGCAATTGAAGCACCACAGCTCCATATAAAAATTTATTTCTAGACCAAAAAGGAAAAGCTTCAAATGTCCAACAACTAGCTTGCAACTTCAAAAATTCATAACTAATTCATTTTAAATCCAAATTACATGAAACCAAAACTAAATGAAAGCTAATTGATTATATTTTTATATTCTATATTTAATTTGACAAGATTAATTTCAAGTTAAAACAGTTTAAGGGCAAAATACAAGTCCTTCTCTTCCATGCATGTAAAACACTCAATAATGACATAAAAATACTTCAAAATAATAGATCAATACCTCACTAGAGAATTGAATCTCTAGATACCAAAGCAAAACTAGGAGTTAGGCTAGATCCTTCAAGGGTTTTGAAGAGGAGAGTGGGAGGAGCCTAAAGTATTCCAAGTTCAAAGTTCTAAGGTGAGTGAAAGAGCACAAAAAATGAAGTCAAAGCTACTAGTCAAGCTTTTCTCCAATGGTGGCTTCCTTAGGGTTCTTGAGAGGAAAGTGATGAATGAATTAAAATGTGTAAACCCTAAGCTAAATTGGTGGGCTTCTCCACTCACTAGGTGCTCTTGCACTACCTCTCACACATACACTAATGCAAGACTAAATGTGAGTCCTACACTTGTCATGAATCCAAGTAAGCTTCCAAGATTAAATATTAACCCTATGCTTGTCAACCATCCATGCCAACAAGTGCACCAATCCTAGGACAACAAGTGGGTGAATCTCCACCCTCCATGTGTCATGAGATTAAGCCTCCAAATGGTTCCACCACAAAATCAACAAGTGACACCATAGGAATGTGACACTTGTCACATTTTTCAGAAATTGCAAAAATGTCCTTTTTGAAAATATCTTCCAATTTAATTTACAAAATGGTCCCTAAGACAAAAAATAATTACTTTACTTAACTACCCAAAAACCCCTCAAGTTATGGATAATTACAAAAAAGTCTTGTTTTCATGACTTTTACAAAGAAAGTAAGCATTTAATATGCATTTCTACCAAAGTAAAAATGTAGATGTCATGGAATTTAAATATCATGGATGTATGCCAAGCCGGAATCAAATCCGAGCACAAAAAGTGAGGTTAAGTAAGGAAAAATGAAAAACGACTAAAGGACGAAAAAGGGAAAAGACGAAAAAATGAATAGTGTCAAAAAAACAAAAAATGTAGAAATGACTTGGTCCTCAAAGGAAGTTGTCAATCCAAAGGAAAGAGTCTTAGAAACCATTTCCGAGCACTCGAGACGACACTAAGAGGCGGGAAATCGAACCCGAAAAGGAAAAGACAATGAAAAAAATTTATCCGCAAAATTTGAAGAAAGGGAAAGAAATGAAAATGACCGGGTCATTACATGTTGCCAAGTTGCCAACTTCTCTAATGCATGTGTCATTTGGGCTACTAAACTCAAAATTTGAGAGGTGTAAAAAGTGGGCTCTCCAATGGGCTTTCATTTGGGCTCTCAAATTTTAAAAATGTCAAATTTCCTCTCAAATATAGGAGCTGCCAATTTTTTTGGCGAGTCTTCTCTCTCTTTGTACAATGCTGTTCGGAACGGCCTTTTATCTCTGGAACCACGTTGCCCTGTTGTCTCTCTCTTCCTCTCATCTGCAACGATCTCTCTCTCCCTCTCATCTGCAACGACAGCGATTATCGATGGTGACCGGATAAATTCTCAAATCTATATTTTCTCTTCCCCTCTCATCCTCATATATGTATGTATGTATATATATATATATATATATATATATATATATATATATATATATCTTCTCAGATCTGTAAATTTTGTTGAAAAAACTCAAAATTTCTATGATCCGTCTCTCAGTTTCTCTCAAAATTTTCATTACCCAACTTGTTCTTCAATCTGGGATTTGCTCACACGTATTAGTCATTATGTGTTTTGTATTTAAATGTTCTTTATTTTGATGAATCTTTGAGATTTTTGTACACACTTAAAAAGGATTTAGTTTGCAAAACAAGAATTACAAACCTTGATTAGTTGATTTAGAAAAAAAAAATTAAAACAAAACCCATACGTACAAGTTAGCAGTTGCAGAGAGAGAGGGGGGCAAGCTTGAGAGTTGAGAGACCGCGGCTGAAGCTTGCGAACGGCGAACCCGAACTGGAACAAGGGGCGATGGAAACTGAAAGATATGGGTTTTGAACTTCTGATTCTTGTTGATTTTGTAGTTTGCAGTTGCACAGAGAGAGAGAGAGAGAGAGAGAGGGACACTTTCAGAGTTGAGAACGAGAATAGAGATGGAGGCGATTGGAGAAGCTGAAATAATTTGCCCTAAAAATATATATATTTTTACTAATAATATAATCAAATATATATAATATACATATATATATATATAATATATATGAATTTCAAAAAAGAAAAAAAAAATTATATAATAATATAATCAAATATATATATATATATATATATATATTTATATATTTATATATATATATATATTGGTCCTTTTTTTACCAGATATTTTAGATTTTTACTTCTTTTTAATTATGTTTAATTTTAGTTTCCTTCTAATGTTTACAACTTGACTTGGAATGTGCCTAATATTAATACGGTTGATACAAATATGAATGGTGGGAATGGTAATTGAAAAAGAATGGTGGTAGTGTCAAAAAATAACATTTTACATGAAATGCACCATTGGAGTAGAATTACTAAAATGTAGCATTTTGGCACTGTTACACCTGTCAAAATATAAAATTGGCATCTGAATTTAGCTTTTAGCTTTGGAGATGCTTGGGTAATGTCATAACATTTTCGCAAAAAGGACGATTATAATAGTAAGGTAGTGTATTGCTTCCAACTACATTTTACCAATGTTTGTTCTAATACAAGGACAAAGCTGAGACTGCCCAAATTTATTCACTGGTTAGTGTACGTTTCGAATATGCTCATGGTGAGTTATTGCTTTGCTTGATATCTGTTTATAGAGTCGCCTCATGGAATTCTGTAACCTGCAGCAGCAAAATAGAAAAAGATTAATTAGCCAAAGATTTTTTTTTTTTTTTTTTTCCAATTTTTGGATCTCATCCACTGAGGCTACCGTGCATCTTAGAACACATGATAGTTATCTTAATATACATAAGATATATATTAGGGGTGACAATTTAAGTCAAAACACATTAATGGTCTAAATTCGTCCACTAAAATTAAATTATTTGAGTATTTAAATTTGAGTGAGTAGCTTAATAACACGTAAAAAGTGGGTATCCATTCAATTCAAGGGTGAATGGTGAGTACCCATCTTAACCCGCTCAAACAAAATACTAATTATTATTATTTTTTTCTCTCTTCTCTCCTTATCTCTCCTTTTTCTATCATAAATAAAAAAGAAAAAAAAAATTGTAACGCTTGAAATAAAAAAAATTAATGTAAAAATTATTATTATTATTATTATTTTGTTATTTAACAATCATAATAGTAATATTACTGGATTTGTAAGTGTTCTAATATTATTAATATTAATATTTTATGTTTCTATCTCTCTATTATTGTTCTTCTCTCTCCAACTATTTTCTCTTTTCTCGGTTTTTTTTTTCCTCTCTCTATCTTTATGTGATAACCCTCCCATTCTATCTATTTTCCCTTTTTTTCTCTCTCCTCCTATTCTCTCTTTCCCTTATTTGTCTCTCTTCTCTCTCCTCCATTTTCTCTTCTCTTTCTTTTTTGGGGTGTGATAAATCTCAAAGTAAGTTGTATAGTAACTTTTTCTCAAAAAAAAAAAAAAAATATATATATATATATATATATTATTAATAATAATAACAATAAAATAAAAGGAAAAAAATTATAACTAGTGAGACTAAAAAATTAATAAATTTAATATAAAAATACTTTTTTTACAATTTTTTGGCATTCAACAATTAAAATAATTTGACAATATGTATCTAAAAATATTGGTAATTGGGGTGGGTTATTAATTAGCCCATTTAACATCTAACTTTTTTATCACCCATCCTAAATGGGTTGATAATGAGTTATTGACCTGCTAGTGACTCACCTATTCATGATCAATTCAAAACCCCCCCCCCCCATTCAATTGCCACCTTACTATATTATATATATATATATATATATATATGAATGCAGTAGAATGTTAAGTTAAAAGAGACTGCTTCTTACGTCCACATAAGGTTCCACGACTAAGCGTTTGGCCACATTTATCTGCAACATAGGGAATTCGTGAGGGATCAACGACCTCCTGATCTTCGGGAGTGAGGTACTTGCACAAGCATGCCATATCCATCGTCTTCACAACATCACAACATCCCCCAGTTGGTGGTCCATACTTTGGCCCTGGCCTCACAACTGCATTACTGCATTGGTGTACGAAATCGTTGTAGTTACCTTTGCACTGGCAAGGTTCTATACTGTCGACGGGATTCATCATCCCCAAAACCACGAGGATTGCCAAAGCCATGAAATGGGTGCTGGACACTGCCATCTCTCTCTAGATTTCTTGTGTGTGTTTGTTTTTGGGTTGTTGGGTAGCATGTTTGCGTCATATAAATAGTAGTTTGAATTCATGCATGTAGGTATCACAATCACACTTTGCATGTCCACCAAACTAGTGCGTGTTGAAATTCATGTTATAGTTATGGTTATGACTTCCAATGTGTTACGTATGAGCATTTTATATGCTGATTTTCAGGGTTTTTTGTTTGTTTTTTTTTTTTTAAAAAAAAATTCAAGGAAAGTGTTTAAATAAAAGGGTAAAGTGTAAAAAATTCTCGGTTATATAAAAAATGTGCTAGAAACACCTTTACCATTTAGTATGTGTATATAAGTCTTTATAATTTGAAAATTTGTAGCAAATTACCCTTTTTTTTTTGGGTAAGTTAAATTTTATTAGAAAGGAACAAAACGGAAAAACGGAAGGGCTAGGCCCAGACAGAGGCCCGAAGGCAAGGAAAACTCCAGACAAGTTGGGAAAAGATACAAGCACCAAAAGAAAAGGCAACCAAAAAACACACCCCTACCCCCCAAGTTCTACTACTGGGAATTGGAAGCGATGACTGTGCTCGGAAGCCTCCAAGCAGCGGCGACAGCCCTCGACGAAGTGCAGTCTGAAAAAAGAACCGTGGAGAGCTTGCTCCTGACACAATCCTCAATTTGTTTCCAAAGTTGCTCCACTGTAAGTCTCTGAATTGTAAAGGTTCTATTGTTTATCTCCCTCCATAGGAAGTACACAGAGCATGCGAAGCATAATTTGTACATCAATGTCTTAGGAGACTTAGACGTCGAGCACCACAGGTTGGCAATCCAAATAGCAATGGCCTCTATACCCTGCTCACCGGTGTAAATCCCACACTTGTGCGGTAAAAACTACCATACTCTATTAGAGTAAGGACAATTGAAGAAAAAGTGATTATGGCTCTCATCCTCCAAGTTGCAAAGGGAGCAGGCTCTGTCAAATTGCCTATTCGAAAAGCGAGATTTATCTCTGGTTTTAAGCTTGTGATGGATAGTAGCCCAAGCTATAAAAGAGTGCCTCGGAATGTGGTAGTTA